ATTTAAAACTGTTGTAAGTATGTTTGAGCAATAAAAATAAATATATATAAAAGAGAAAGTGTAAATATATATAATAAAAAACGATAACCTAGGTGTGTTAAGACTTCTACTTGTTGTAATATACAATTTGTTGCGTGATTTAGATTATATAACGGCATATTATTAAAATAATATTATTTAAAACTGTATTACTTATATACAGGGCCGTACCGACGGGGGTATGTAAGGGGTGGACCCCCACCTAGATTTACAAAATTCTGTCAGTTATTGTCGGAAAATTGGAAGATTTGGGACTCTGTCAATTAGAACTAAACTTTGGCTTCTAAAAATAAAATAAAAAAAACCTTGTCTGCAAAGTTAGCTTTTTTCCTTTGCACCCACCCCCCCACCCCAGCCCCCCAAGTCTTCTTCGTTCGGTACGGCACTGCTTATTTGTAAGTAAACAGTATATATTATAAAAATCTGAAAATGTTTATAATTTTGTAAAAAATGAAAATAAAACATTAAAATGTTTAAGCTGTTTCTTAATGAATATACAAGAGAATTGTTGTTCTAAATAAACTTTCAATAAAATTTGTAAATCAGAGTTATACTTAACAAATACAAATTTATAGTTATACTTAAACAGCGTTATTTTTTAAAATAGCGCAAATTTCCGCAACCACAAATAAATTGTATAGTGATGCGTCACTAAAAATAAGTATAGGTAAACAATAGTGATGTGCCGGGTACCCGGTTCTGACCCGGGGACGCGGCAATTCGGCTGTTTTACCGGGTACCCGGTATCGGCGATTTTGTTGCAGTACCCGGCACCGGGTATCTTCAAATTGATTTTTTTTTAAATTTAAACTTTAACCATTAAACTTCTTGATATAAATCTAAGAATGTTATGTAGTCGATAACCACAAAGTTCTATTAACTTAAAAAAATATCACTTAAAATAATTTTTAATACATTTTTGCAAAAAAATTTATACGGATACAAAAACTGAAACGCTAAATGAAATAATTTGAGAATACGAATAAAAAAACTGAGAAAAAAAGTTTTAGAATAGCTTCTTTTTATTCTGTTAGAACACAAGATAATTTTTAGCAATTAATTTTTGAATGAAACGCTTATAATGCTTTCAAACGCTGATACCACTTTTCATTCGTATCAAGCAAAAGTCATAAAAGTAGAGATATTAGGTAAATATTATACACATTTTTCTTATTTTAATTTCGATAATAATTATAACGAAAAAGGCCCGCTCCACCAGGTAAAAAAAATAATTTTATACTAAATATAGTTATTAAAAAACTGTTCCGCAACTTTTGAAAAAAGTTAGGCTCTACAACTCAGGCCCCTTACCCTGCATTGCGGGGTTTTGCTAAATGGTACTTCCGCCACATAACTTTTGGTTAGTTAGCGTAAAAAGCCTATTTTGTGTGAATTTTATTCCAACTTTTTAAAAATGGACTCGGTGCCGAGTACTCGGACTCGGACCAGGTTTTTTCAGCAGTGTACCCGGAATCGGAGACTCGGCATTAACTGGTTCCAGCACATCTCTAGTAAACAAACAAACTCAATTTGTAGTTGCGGCGTATTATATTTTCTGCATTAGTTTAAATTTCCCCGAGGAAATCCCCCCGAAAAAAAATCCGCTAGGAAAAAATACCCCCGGATACAGAAAAATTGCTAGGTTTCAAACTTAAAAAAAATATAATAGAGCTTTTTTTGTTAAGTATTTATCTCAAGCATAAGTTAGTTGCAATTTTAAAATGATAGGTTCGGGAATTGCAGCTTTCATATTTTACATATTATAGTTTTATGGCATAATTAAGGTACATAAAATTAGTTTTTTGATAATTAACTACAATAGTACTTTCTTACAAATTTAATTAAGTCCCGTTCTTAAATAAATTGAATAATCTTTAAAAAGTTTAAAATTATTGGAAAATTTTATAAAACCACAATCGAAAATGTTTTGAAAACATTAAGGTAGAATTTTGGATCCGTCATAGTTAAATATTCATTACAAATTTGCGATAATGTATAGCTAATGTAATGCAAAATGTAATTCAAACGTAATGAAAAATGAAATTTAATGCGAATGTAATGCGAAAACGACTAAAAAAGTTAAGAAAGAGCGCATGTAATGTGAACTCCAATCAACTCATTTGCCGGCTTGCATTAGTTGGTTAAACCTAGCTAACAGTACGTTTTAGCACCTTCTAACATCGGGTGCAGCCCTGTCCGCTTTCGCTATGCTATTTTTCTAACTCGACTACTTCTGCCTTACACCCTAACATATCTTCGTTCTTCCAAAACTCACTTGACTCTTGGTCCGTAGAGCGGGTTATGACGCTCCTTGGGGAGCCGAACCTGTCTTTGCGGGCCTTAGTAATGTGGCCTCTATATGGCAATTAGCCGGAGGAGGATAAACCACAATACCAGTTAATGTAATGCGAATGGGATAACAAAATAAGTAAAATAAAATTAGAAAGGTAGAATTAGAAAAGTAGAATTAGAAAGGTCGAATTAGAAAGGTCGAATTAGAAAGGTAGAATTAGAAAGGTAAAATTCCTCCCTCGTTTCATATTATAAAAACATTTACACCAAAACAAATTTATGCAAAGACAGTCAAAACTATGTCTTGCCACACATCACTAAACGTTTAAGTGATGATGAAAACCTAATTTTAAATACCCACCTAACCGGCGTTGAGCTTAAAAAATTTTTAAAATTGAAAACTAAAAATCTCCGGGCTATGACGGACTTCCAGCTGATTTTTACACAAAACATTTTGGCACGTTTTAGAAAAAGATTTTGTAAAACATGCTTACGAAATACTTTTTGTAGAAAAAAATACTAGCTACCCTATGAAAAAATCAATAATTTCACTGATTCTCAAACAAGGAGATCTTTATGAATGTAAAAATTGGAGGCCCATATCCTTAATCGGCGCTGATAACAAAATAATCACAAAAGCGCTGGCCTTAAGATAAAAGTAATAGGGTAAATTATAGAACTAAATCAAATAGTTCGTGATCTAATTGATTACGCGGAATTTAAAAATCTACCTAGTTTCATTTTGTCAATAGATCAAGAAATGACATTTGACAAAGTAGATTGTGCATTTCTGCTGCAGATTCTCCAATAATTTAATCTCATATTAAATCTTTTATACTTTGTTAACACCCTATATTCGAAAATTTCGGCATCTGTTCTGAATTGCGGTTTCTCGTCAGCCTCTTTCCCTACCAAAATAGGAGTTAGACAAGGCCACTCCTTCTCTCTTTTGCTGTGTGTTTTTGTCGCCGATGCTCTCGCTTTGGTGATCAGAGCAATCAGCAGAATCGAGGATTTCCCACTACCAGGAACACCAAAACTCCTTAAATTACGACAGTACGCAGACGGTTCAAACTTGTTTGCCAGTGACGTAAAATCAGTCCGCTTTTTTTTCAAAACATTTAAACTATTTGAAAAAGCAAGTGGTTTAAAGATCAATGCCTCAAAAATCAAGGGTCTTGCTATTGTGAGTTTTGATCCTAAAATGTACCCAGAATTGAACAACATAAAAAGGACCAATAACACCGGTTTTCAAAATTTTGGATGTTACTTTTTACACCAGACTAAGTAAACCAATTTAAACTGGCTAGTAACTCTAAACAAAATAGAGGAAAAACTCAAGTTCTAGGACTACGTACATTGTCGCTTAGGAGAAAGACTATGTTGATAAATACGTTAGCAATGTCAAAAGTGTGGTTTCTGGCAAACGTGCTACCCGTTCCCGAATGGGTAATAGAACGTTTACACAATGCCATTTTCAAAAACCTGTGGCAAAAGACCAACTTTAATCCAGTCAAAAGAGAGACACTTATTTAACCCGTCAAAAACGAGAGTGTCGGAATTTTATCACCGAAGGAACAAAGCCTTACACTTCGCCTCAAAACACTCTTTCAACTGAAAGAATGCAGAGAGGATAAAACTCATGATTACTGCTAATTGTTAAAATACTGTTTAGCAAGTTCCTATATAAAGTTTACAAACCAATACCAAAGCTGGAACCTTTTGAAACAGAACAAATTTCTAAAACACTGGGACAACAAAATGTCTCAGTACTACACAACAACTATTGAAACATTAGGCAAAAACGGGTTCCTTTCTAACATTTAACGCTCACTCAAACCATTATGAGTGCAATATGGAACAGTCGATGCCACCACATGTTTAGTAACATAAAAATTGACCCATTGGCAGTGATCAGGGTAAGAATCAGGAACATCAGAAATATTATTACTTTAAAGTATAATTATCATGTCCATAGAAACAGTGCGGACATTTTCTGTCAACTTTTTTTGTATTAATAATGTAATTTGCCAAGTAAAGAATTGGAAACTGAAACTAAACATATGAGCTAATTTAATACACTGGTTCAAAATTCAGAACTGAATGTTTATTAAAGACCTCTTGTTCTCTGCAAAGCTTTTTTTTTGAACATAAATATTGTTACTTATGATTAGAAAAAAACTGCCAGCCCTTATTTTATGAAATATTATTTTAACATATTGGTGTTTTACATACAAAATGTAAAGTGGCGTTTGTGTAAACGTCCTGTAAATTACCTTATTATCTTTTTTTTTTTTTCCTTAATTTAGTCTTTCTTTTCAAAATATTCTAATATTATATTGAACTTTATCTTATAATATATATAATTTTTTTTAAACCTTGCAAAGTTTTTGACATGTCTCCGCACAACGGCTAAAAATAAAAAAAATAAAAAATATAAAAACATAAAAGAATATAAAATTTAAAAAAACACAAAAAAAATTAAAATTTACAATACACAAAAACAAAATGCATATAAATAAAAATATAAATAAAATGTAAATAAATGAAAACCCCTGTAAATTAACTATATTATATATGCATAAAAAAACATTTGTAACCAGAGATAGTATAAAATTATAAAATTGTATATAATTTATTATTTTATAATTTATTATATTTTATTATAGCCCGACTACTTTTACCTTTCACTCTCACCTTACACTTGGTCTGTAGAGAGAGTTATGACGTTCGTTTAGAAGCCGAAGCAAGTCTCTGCGAACCTAAGTAATGTGACCTTCACAAGGCAATTAGCTGCTGGAGGATAAACCACAAAACCAATTGCGAATAGATATATTTATATTTTTAATATATTTGTTTTTTTTTATTCTCTTTCTGATAATTTTGTTTTTTATAGTGTATTTTTGGTTGCGTATAGGGCAAACTGATATGATATAGTAATGCGGTAGATAAAAGAGTGAAGGAATAAATATGACTTCTACATGCAATCGAAGTGTGGCGATAGCTCTTATTTAGTGTTATTTTAGTAGAATAAGCATTAAAGCCACATATGAAATGCACCAACGCCATCCCACAAAGAAGAGTGGTAATATATGGCTAACATGCAAATGCCCCATATTAAAAATTCTTTTCGGGTAGTGTTATGTACTTCAGAATTATGCTTTTCTAATGTGTTAAAGCCGAAGTTATAAGTAAACAATATTTTAGAGAAAACAAAAGTAATAAAATGTTTGTGTGTGCCGTCTCATTGTGCGACGTCGGCATTCAGATGTTAATCCAACGTGTTTTTTGTAAACTAAAAAATGTTGCCTTAGGCAGGAATCTAAAAGATTCTTAATCCTACGCGTTTACCACTACCCCACAGGGTCTTATTATATCATGAAATTATTTATTAATATATACTTATAGCTATTTGGGAATTATTACTTTGATAAGAAATAATTTTGTTTTAATATTACATAAATATAAAAACGAACGGTTATATTTTATA